CGGCTGACGGAGCTCAAAGAGCTCACATTGCACCTGCGGAATAACCAGATCGGCCCGGGGCCTCGGAGGGCGCTTTGCTCAGACCCCGAAGAAGTCGAAGCCCGAGAGCTGCAGTTGCATGGGACGGCGTATCATTGTGCCCTTAGCCTTAGCGACTCGGAGGGTGGAGCGTGGCAGCTTGGGGCTTCACCTCTCTGTCGCCCGAGGTGATGCAGGCGCCGCAGCTGTGGCTGAGAGCCTGCGGAATCTGCGGCAGCTCACGAAGCTCTATGTTCGGCTGTCCAACAACGCAATCGGCCCGGGCCTCGAGGTCTGTTAAGCGGCCTTATGGCCTTGCCTCACAGACCACGTTCAGGCGATCCAAGCCTTGGATCCCTGTTCTCATGTGAAGCCCAATCCCGACGCCGAAGTTTGAAGAGACGGGTTTCTGCCGATGTCCACTCCCGCAGATTCTACCGGAAGTGGCGGGCTCTGCCTGCCTCCGGCCGAGGCGATGCTGGCGCCACCGCAGTGGTGGAGAGCCTTCGAGAGCTGCCGCAGCTCACGGAGGTTAATGTTTATCTGCTGTACAACGACCTTGGCCCGGGCCTCGGGGGCTTTGTCAAAGCATCTTGGACCTTGCCACACAAACCCCGCCCCAGGCAATGAGGAGCAACTCCGGGCCACCTTCGATGCGCTGCCGGTGCGTCTGAAACGCATCGAGCTTTGATCCGAGGCCCGGCCGGGGCCCGGCCTGGTGGCTTCTGTGGGAGACTTCGGGGCTTGGACTCTTTCGGCTGCGAGGCCTCAGCCTCGGCGCGCTGGTGGTGGCCTTTCTCCCGAGCGCTGCGGATCTACCGCCGATAAAGCAGAGATCTCGCTGTGGTGGAATCCGAGCATTCAAACTTGTCGCCGTAGCATTGCAGTCTTGCTTTGGTGTTGGTCTTGGGTCTTTGCGAGCTGCTAGTTCGGGACCTTCGAGGACTGGGGTCAGGATCCGATGCTAACACACGGGTCAAGTCGCGGAATTCGGGTTTGAGGGCACTCGGTGTCTTGCACCGACCCCAATGTGTAGCTTCCGAAGCTGAAGAGGGGCTCCGGCGGAGCTGCATCCTTGCATTTGTGATGTCTCGTGCGGCTCAAGTGCTGCCACAAGGCATTTAAAACAACAGCCCTGTAAAGCTCAGAAACTCGATCATCTGAACGTCTGTGCCCTGGCCCTGAACCCACGAGCACCGAGCACGTTATTGACAGGCGACTCCCCGAACTTCGTGCTGCTCGAACTCCAAATATTTGTGGGGCTTAGTGCCTGATGCCATGTCCAAGCGAATTTAATCAAGGAGCTGGTGTCAAATAGTGACATGCTGAAATAACAATCTTCAACACAAAGCTATCATCGAGGGTGCCCTGGACATTGCAGTGTTCTTCCCAGCGTATGGGCTGCAGAGCCAGCAGTGAGAGCAAGTATGCCGGGCACTGTGGGGACAAGGTGTTGGGATTCTTAGGCGCTGGAACCAAAACCCCTAAACCTCTTACACTCTAACCCCTAAAGGCCCCCTGGTTCCCAAAGTGTCTTTCTGACAGACTTTTCAGTCCCCAGGCAGGATCACAAGAAGCTTGGGGCTCCGATGTTCCGGGGTTGAGATGGGTTGAGCATGTGAGGGGTGTTTCATCCCTAGAAGATTGAACACCCATGTGATTCTTGAGATCGGGAAGTTGGTGTTGTTTTTGGGTATGTCACCGCTTCTTTGATGAGAGCTTCTGGGTGATTCGGGGCCTGCAGGCCTGGAAGTCGACGCTGAATCTTCAAGTTGAGAGAGGAGAACAGGGTGAAGTTTTCACCAACAGGATTCCTGTAGCAAGCCGAAGGGTGTGCCGCAGCATGCCCCAGTGCTTCCGTGCAACGCGTGGAAGATCATCGATGTCCAAACCCGTGAAAACATGATCTCTTGCACACACCCCGTGGTTTCTAGCATTTCTTGATCCCGGCTCCGACATCTGAACTTTGCTTCGTTGGGAGGGCAATCCCAGGTAAGCATCTTCGGCTTAATGCACAGGGTTTGGGTTGCAATCGCTTCAGGGCTAGGGCAGTTGATGCATACTGCAGATTCTAGTGACGCCTGCTCCGACTTCCCGGTTTGGGACTTTTCGTGTTCAGGGTGTGAGGGGCTGAACCAACCTTGCGCCCGTGTGCCGCAGACAAGATCGTTTTCCGCCCAAATGTGGCGATTCAGATCACCCTTTCTGGTGATACCGCTTCTCTCCGCCAGTTCCCTGCCGCGCCCCTTGGCTTATTTTGTTTTTGATTGACTGGATGTTTCATGTAGAGTACCTTAAAACGTTCTAAGCTCTGAAGGTGCGCACTCCTCAACCGTAACACTCCAGGTGTCTGCATGTCCAACGGGGGGTTATAAAGTTTCAAACAAACCGGGGTCGGAACCGTCGTTCAAGCTGCGTCTCTTTTCGCCACCCCTCACCTCGCCTGAAGCCACAACGTCCAGCACTCCCTAAAATACCCCTATAGATCCTATAGAACCCTTAAGAACCCCTATAGATCCTATAGAACCCTTAAAGAACCCCTATACCCAAGCCTAAGCTGTAGAATCCTTGAGTACACAAGAGTTCGGAGCACCCTGCCGACCCCGGAAAGACGCAAAGCCCGGCTTCTCCCAGGCCATGAGTGCCGCAGAAGTTGCCGTGCTTGAGGGGAGCGAGCCGAGCCTTCGTCTGGATTTAGGGCGTCTGTTTATCCCAAAGCCCGGCAACCAAAGCTGCAGCCCACCGAGGTCCATGGCAAGGGTCGCCAGTCCCACCTCGGTGGCAGGGGCGGCCTGCGCCGGTGACAAGGCGGACTTCTGGATTCTGTTGGCGCATGTGTGATTTTTGGTATTCTTTTTGTTTTTTTCGGCTGGTTAGGCGTGGTAGGACTGTTGTTTTCACAGAGCCACACAGAGACGTAGGGTTCAATACCTTATAATGATAGGGCGTTAGGTGACTTCGACTTTTTCAAAGGATATGGCAATCCAGGTTTAGCGCTTTGGCAGGACTAAATGCTTGGCTTTGATGGCTTTCGGGAGACTGTTAGGACCGGGTGGGTTGGTTGTTTAGATGTACTGTTCAAAAAAGTTAGCAGGGTGCAGACCTCTTTGAGCTCTCCGGGTGTTCATGTTTTCAAGTTTGTTGAAGGCATCCTCGCCGATTAGCTTTGAGAAGTTGGCGACAGGAAGGCTTGAAAAGACGCAGTTGCGGTGAGCGCTGGTATGGTGTCACATTGCCGACAACCCCCGAGGGAAGCTTTTGACATGCAGGTCGTGCAAGGCGCTGTGACAACCACACGCCGCACGATGAAGATCGCAGGTGGGCTTTACGCAGAGGACCAGTAAGCCCGGAACTCTGCGATTCTTAACTCTTCGACGGTATACTGGCAAACCCAATTCTGTGTTCCAGCACTCAGGAGGCATTCCGTGCAGACCCAATTTGCAGGCTTGAGCAATCCCTGCCCGATCCGTTGATGCGGACTACACAAGACTAAGTAGGCGGCCCCGCGCCGACAGGCAAAGAGCCAGATGTTGCATGAAGGAATGCTGCCAGAAGCCCAAATCCAGTGAATTCCTAAACTGTCCTGAACCCCTACAGCAGCCTGGCTTCTGCTACTACCACGACTGATGACGATGCTGACGAGGGCATTCCACCTGTCGTACATGGTCGTACTGAGAGGAGGCAACATAGCATTATACCAAGCGTTAGGGTTCCTTCTTATAGATTATATACTATGATCCACCATCCCAAAACCCTGTTCTAAACACTCAGGCCCCTCACATAAACGTAACATGGACAAGCAGTTTTACAATGTATCCCACATCCCGATGCTGATCATTGTCTCCCCAAACGCTACATTCACTTTCCGTGCCTTTGTCAGGTCTGGCCCATACTAGTATCCCAACACCCAAGCCCTAATCCACCAAACTCCCCAAAGCCTTTGTTGTATAGTTTCCCGTGCCTTTGTCAGGTCTTGCCCTCTTCGCTCTGGCCTTTGCCTTCGCATTCTTCGGCCCCTCGGGCGTGCAGAGTTCCAGGATCAGTGGGGTTTCCTGCTCCGCTTTCTCTTGAGGGTTGACGTTAAGGTCGAGGATTGTGGGGATGTTTACAGGGTTTTCCAAATCACCTGCCAGGTTGGCCCAAGAACCTCTTGGAGGATGCAGCCACGCACAGGAGGCGCGCACAGGGGTGCTTTGGGGTTGATGGGATCCAGGGGACGAAGGTGCAGGGTGGAGTTTGGGTAGAGGCTTGAAGTTTAGAGCTTGTGGGTCAGAGTGCTGTAGACGCATAGTTTGACATAGTCAACCCCGCCCCAATGGCTCCCGGCACTCGCCCAAGTCCTCAGGGTCTTAGCAGCGCTTTTCATCACCGGCATCACGCTCGTGGCGCTGGAGGACTGCTAAGCTCTCGACCCGTTGGTGGGTGCACCGGAGTCTGTTTGCCAAGTTGTTACGGGTGTGTTAGGGAACCTGCTCGCGGATGGCATAAGCATGGCAGACCCCTGGTTCTGTGTGTAGAGCCCACTGCAAGTTTTGTAGGAGAAGTCTTCCTTGGATGGTTCGACTCTTCGACTTAATGATGCACTGTCGATAGCACAGTGGAGGATATCCTTCTGGGGACATGAAATGTCTGCAAGACGCATGATTAGAGACACCATATAAGCCATATAAGCATTGTTTATCCTCTCTTCCCACTTCGACGCTTCTCTCACAAATTGACCGAGCAGTACCTCAGGATTGTAATGGACTCAAAGAATGTTTGTCCAGGATAGCCGAAAGGGCCAGCAATACAGCAGCCAAATCGGACAATAGCGTTAAACCTGTGGTGCACTATGAGCAACTTGTGTACACTTGGTAGTAGAAGTATCACTGGCATCCTTTAAGCGCCTTTGTGCACCTCTTAGGCCTGAGGGCTGCTGCTACAGCTGTTTTGAGCGTCACTTTAGGCACTTCCAGGAACAGTGTCAGCAGTATGTCGTCGAATGGTCCCTAAACCTAACCGGACCTAACCCGTGAACGGCCCTAACCCCTGCCTCCCTGGGAGGATGTTCTGCGACTGGACAAGTCGGCGATTATGCTTGTCTTGGCTTCCGTGCCCCCTGGAAGCGGTAAGGCTCCTACCAAAACTGCCCAAATCTTGCGCCTTTACCCTAATGCCAGACCAGTCCTTCTTCTGAGTCTATTCGAATGTAGCCACGATAAGCACCCTTAAAGACTACAGTGCTTGTGGAAAGTCCGACGACGAGTTAAATGCAGCTACTACCCCAGAGGCTCCGAATTAGGTTTGGGTTTGAGGGATGGTGCAAAGGCCCATACCTTCACGTGAACATAAGAAAGGCCATGTTGTTCTGAACCCTGGGCACCTTTCCGTTTGCATCTCCAAAGACCTCCTTCAAGGATGTGGACGTATCACGCGGCGGGCATTCATGCCAGATCTGCAGAAGGCAGATACGTCTTTCGAGTGTTCGGGCCTTGTGTGTGTTTGGTTTGGGGCGCCCAGTATTCCCCAAACATGGACATCAGCGATGGGTGTTCCCTGTGGGTCCATTGCAGGGTTGCGAGAGGGTTCTGCGCCTGACGCGGCAGACCGACATTCTGCTCTTCTTGCTATGCTGGCATACGTATATCCTTGTATAGCTCCAGACCCTAACCCCCTAAAGCCTAAAACTACCTGAACCTTTAACTCGAAACCTTGTATAGCTCTGAACCCCAGTCGCGGCAACCTCTGGGTTCCAAGGATCAAAAGGCCCTAAACCCTAAACGGCCCCAAACCCCGAGCACACTACGCCTCAAGCTCCTGAGATACATGGGTATAGTTCTCTAAATCAGGCACCCTTTTGGGGTCCCGTTTTTTCTTTAAATAAGGGTGCCATACTGTCTTGAGTATCTTCGAGAACTACCCCACATGGAAACCAGCGGGGCCGAGACCTCCCCAAAACTCTGTGGATCTCTCCTCTAGAACAACCCTAAACTTTAAACCCTAAAGCCTAATCTTTAAACCCTAAACACTAAATCCTATCACCCAAAACTCTTTGAATCTTTCCTCTAGGACACGAGCTCCTCGAGGAGGAACTGCTGAAAGGACTCTTTGAGGCCCGGAAGCCGTGTTAAGGGTGGTGCGTGCTCCCTCATCAAACAGCCCTAGACCGAAGGTGCAGGATTTTGTGGGTTTAGGGTTTGGGCGGGTGCCGGATTTCCAGTTTTTGGTGTTTGAAAATTTCTTGGTTAAGGTTTTGAAATTTGACAGACTGGAATTCGGTTTTAGACGGTTTTTGGTGTTTGTATATTTGTAAAGTTGGCAGGAATTGCCGGGATGAGGCATCACCCTTTGAAGCCCTAAACCCCAAACCCTATAAGCCCTCAGCCAAACTGTCAGTGTCATGAACAGTAGGGAAGGGACCAGGTCACAGATCTGACCCCGCGTCCCCCCTGGAGGCCGGGCGGCTGATGCCCATCGTCTGCATCATCGCGTTCTTCCTGAGTTCGGTGAGGAGGGCCGCACCAAGTTGAAGGGATTTCAGGGTGGTTAGGGTTTGAGGGTTGAGGAGTTTAGGGTTTAAGGTTTCAGGGTTTAAGGTGTGGAAGCAGAGCGTTAGTCCGAAAGACCGACCAGTCCTACAAGGTGAGCACAGAGACTCTGACCTCGTGAGCCATCAGACAGCTCGAACAGTGAGTTTTGACATGGCGCGTGGAAGACGCTTAAGACCAAAGCAGACCCCTGTAATACCCGTATAGGAGCCCAAATACCAACCGAGGAACCCCTTGGAAGAGCCCTAAAAGAGCCCTTAGAGGAACCCTTATGTAACTATTAACGGAGCCCTTATGGTAGGAAACCCCCTGGCCAGGTGATCGACAATCTCACCGCCACCATCGTGTGCATCAAAAGTGCCCCACAACCAGGACGCCCGTGAAGCTCTTCAGCAAAGTGGGTGTACACGGTAGTGAATACAGGGGGTCCTCCGCACATCCAACCCACATTCCAATCACCCCTAAGTGGAACGCAAAGGCACAACGAACTTCGAAAGCGATTGTTATACTCCATGTTGCACCGCAAACCCTATTTACCACATAGATTTCAGCCGAGTTCTGAGCCCTTCATATCGTAAAGCTAGAATCACTAGAAAGTACGGCCCTGGCACCTGCCCCTTAAACGTTGTACAAGATGTAGAGACACAGCCGCGGAGGCACGGAGGGCAGGGCAGGGTTGACTGTGAGAACTCGGGGTGGCACGATGTTGCTCCTGTGGCCGTGCGGTTCTGGGCTCGAGGGAAGTGGTTTCGGGTGCAGAATTCCTTAGGGTTCCTAACTATATTTTCATAACCCCAAAGCCCTCTTCAAGTTATCCCTAAACCCTAAACCCTACCCTAAAGCCACCCTTATAGTATGTATAGCAAACACTTTACTACAGGTATCCCTTTTGGTACCCCTTTCAAAGGGCCCTAAAGAGCTGACGACAGGGCGTCGTCGCGGTGGCTGCAAGAGCCGGAAGTGTCTGGAGTGGGGTTCCTGAAAGGGTTCTTCAACGGGGTTCTTTAAAGGGTTCTTGAAAGGGTTCATTAAAGGTGTCTTTTACAGAGGTTCTTGTAAGGGGTTCTTTGAAGCGATTCTTTGTATCGTTGCGATAAGGGGGAGATTGTCCAATGGCAAAACAGGGACCCTAAGGGGCACATCATTATATCTGTATCCTGCCGGAAACGGCCACTTTTGTAAACCTCATGGTTCCCTGGGTGCATGGAAAGAGCAGAAGTGGGTGAGGGTGCGAAGGTGTCCAAGGGATTCGGCCGCCGGCCGGTACTGTGCACTACTGGGGCTTCGCTGTTGGATCAGATCCGGGCCAGCACACGGGCACTCGATAGCGTCACGTCTTTGGTCAGCTAAGTCTTCTTCAGGGTGAGGAGAACCCAACATAGCCCAAGAACCCAACATAGCCCAAGACGGGAATTTACAGCCCCAAAAAGAGAGCGACCGAGGTGCCGGCAAAGCGCTGCCAGCGCCTGCGGAAGCCTGCGGCGGCTCGCGGAGCTAAGGGAGCTCAGCCTCCGGGAGCAAAGTGACGAGTCTCTATGTCTCGATGACTAGAGCTGGGCGCTCTGAGAGAAGACCCAACGGGCTCCGCCCGGGCCTCGGAGGTCGTGTCCGAAAGCTCCTCCGGGGGGGCCTCCGGTGTTGAGGGTGGGTGCTGCGGCAGTGCAGTAAGATGTGGCAGCTCCTTCCTTCAAGGGCGCCAAAGAGTGATTCCATCCATGCGAGCTTTCCCAGTGGATCGTCCTCTCAAAATCGCGCAGGCGCTGGGGCAAATCAGCTAATTATCCCGACCTTGTGGGTACTCTGAGGCCTCGTGCGACCTCAGAGTGACAATCATTATGTCAAGAGCCGTCCCTTTACTGCCTTTGCTCTCCTCTCTAGCCGTGCGACCTCTGAGTGACATGCATTGCTGCATTATGTCAAGAGCTGTCCCTTTACTCTTACTCTCCTGTCTAGCCGCGCTCTTCTTAGGGCATCTTGGGCCTTCCCGCGCAGACCTCGGCCCAGGCTCGGAAGGGGAAGCAGCTCCGGGCCGCCTTCGATGCGCTGCTCCTTTGGTGAACCGAGGCCCGGGTGCTGCCTTTTTGGGCTTCCTTTCATTCAAAGAAGGGGGTGGATGTGGGAAGATCTGTGCGGCGTTTATAAGTCTGAAGGAAGTCCGTCCTTCAGGGCTCGCGGCTTAAAAGCCGCTCCAGGCTGTCATAGGCTGTCCACACAGTCTTCCAACTTGGCTCTCCCCCGCTCTAGCCGAGCTCGTCCCGACGTCTCGCCTTCGCCAAGCATCGGCTTTCAGAAACCGAGCCCAGGCGAGAAAGGATAAAACGAAGCCTTGGGCCGCCTTCGCTTCGCTGCCAGGTGAGGGACATCGGCGCTTGGCCTTTGATCCGAGGCCCGGCCCGGGGTGTAGGACGCCGGTCGTGGCTTTTTTTGGGGAGAGCTCGGGGCCTCAACTCCTGGCTGGGAGGCCAAGGTGTGCTGGTGGCCTTTCCCCAGCGCTTCTTGCACCGCCGCCGACAAAGCAGAGGCTGGATGCTGGATCAGTGCTGGAGTCCGAACATGCACGTTTGTTTAGATCTGTCGGGCCAAGGTTGTCGGATTGATGCGTAGTGGCTGCTTCTTTGCCTTTCTGACATGTGGTTTTCGATTTTGCAGTCCGCTGACCTCAAGTCTTCCAGAAGCTTAGGGCCCTGATGATCCCGGGTTGAGATGGGTTGAGTTGAGCGCCGTTGAGCATTTTCATCGGAGCTGTGTAAGCTTGGAAGAGCTGAACATCTGTGTCAATCTCGTTGCTTAAGCTCGGGAAGTTGGTGTTTGTCTTGTCATGTCACCGGTTCTTTCATGAGACTTCCTGAGTGATTCGGGTGCTACACTACACACCTGTGTGCCCACTGCTGGAATCCTTGAAGTCGGCAGAAGTCAGCATTCAGTTTTCGCCAACAGTAGCGTTCGGGAAAGCCGTGGAAGATCACGCACATATGTCCAAGCCCATGAGAAATGAGAACTTTGACTCTTGAACAACCCCTATAGACATCCGAAAGTCATGAGGCTTGGAACCCTGAACTTTGAAACACTCGAGGCGGGGCCCGGCGGCCCGCTGCTCACCGGCTTTTGAGCCCACCGTGCGGGGGGGTGAAAAAGCGCGCCTTTTTGGAAAGGCTGGTTGGGGTGGGGGCCAGTGGAGGGCCAAGGGGCTTGGGCTTCGAAGAGGCTTTTGATACTTCGCGAGCATCTTCTTCTTCTGATGCTTGAAGCTAGATTTCCGGCTCTGGAGTTTTGGGGCTCTAGGGAGCGGGTCTGAAATTGAGGTTTTGTGGGTTCACGCTCAGGATCCGAAGCTACACCGGGGTAGGCTCCAAGAGCTTGCTGCGGAGACCAATGAGGTTTCGTTCCTACAGGGTCTGCGGAGCCTTCGTAGTGAAAGGCCATGGGCCTTGTGGCTCTAAGCCTCTCCAAACTATAAACCCCAAACCGACTTGGCACGAAAAGGAGCCCGAGGGCACAGAGCCCGTAGAAGTCTTCTTAACGCGCTGTATGTCGAGACTTGGAGGCTGCCGGTCGACGTAGTCGGC